GGCTCCATACAACTTAAATAAACTTAGATCTCACATGCATTCAACCTAGGGATGGCAATGGGGCCCCATGGGGGCGGGTAATAGTAAACCCGCCCCCGTCCCGCTAGATGAAAATTGGCCTCATACCCACCCCATATCCGTGCGGGTATCCATGAATTTTTTGAATACCCACGAATATCCATGGATGTCCATGGATATTTATAAATTTTTTAAGAAATTTAAAAAATTATATTACAAATAATTTTAAGTTTATATTTAATGTCATTGAAATATTAAAAATAAAAATTCAATGTTAATTTTGAACTTGTATTTAACATTAATTTTGTTGAAATAATAATAAAAATGCAACATAATCAATAACTTAAAATACATCCATCTCACAAGTAAGTTAAAGTCTCATCACAAAGTTACAATAATTCAATCTCATAATTCTAAAGGAAAGTAAACAACTTAAAATACAAAAATCTTATTGGTTTAATCAAAGCTAGAAAATTAATCAAATTACATCCAACATAATTCTATAACATGCTTAACACATGTTGGTAACTTCATCAACCTCACTTTTTTAAGAAAATAAGATGAGAGAGTGTAGTTTTAGGGTTATGTGGTACAAGGATAATTAGGATATTTAAGAAATAATATTAAACGGGTACCTGCGTATCATCATACCTGCCCCCGCCCCCGCCCCATTTATAAACGGGTAAAAAGTTATCCGTCTTCATTATCTGCGGGTATCCAATTAGCTTATCCATTTATTATCCGTAGCAGATTTTATCCGCAGATACCTGCGGGTGCGGGTATTTTTGCCATCCCTAATCCAACCTATGCATCAAAATCCTCCTTTTTCTCAAAACCCCAAAAATGAGATTTTCTTCAATCCATTTATGGATTCTCAACATTCATGCATCAATTGAGTTTCTAAACTCACATGCAACCTAAACAACAAACATTATAGCTTCCCTCACCTGAAGATTGACTCAAAATAGCTAATAACTGAGAAGAAGTAGAATTCCCTTCCGAAGCTCAACCCGGAACTTCAATCCTCTCAAAGCAAGCTTTCTAGTCTGAATTTCAAGAAAAGACAAAAGACATTCGTGATCTAGAGGAGAAAAAGAATCATACAGAGAAATTTGGGAGAGAAAGGAGCTCACAGACCCAAAGTCCTTCTCTCTAAAACTTCTCTATAAAAATCTCATTTTCTCATAATCACACAACTCCTATTTATAAAAGTTCAGAAGTGGCCAAAACGGCCTGTTTCGAATCCGGAATGACCCGTTCTGCACCCCTACATCATGTGCCAAAATCACATGCAGAACGACCCGTTCTGAAACCAGAACAACCCGTTATGGGATTCATCCAGAATGGCCCGTTCTCCATCCAGAACGGCCCGTTCTCCATCCAGAACGGCCCGTTCTCAACTACGATTTTCAGGTCAATTTAGTAGTTTGGAACGGTCAGTTCTAGTTTGGGAACGGCCCGTTCTGGGCTACTAAATCACCCATATTAGGCTTTTGAGCCTTCTGAAATAACCTACTACGTTACAGGATCGACTCTATAGACACAAAGAATAAATATAAAATTTTTCATCAAGTATTACGTTTTCAACATCTTTTATATAATATCATTTTAACTGAAATAATTATTAAATTATGTGATATTATATTTATAATTATATATATCAAATTTTATTTAATTTTAAAATTATTTAATAGTCAAACACATTACTTAATTTATTTTAATACATAATATGATATTTAAAATTTGTGTAAATATTTATTTTTAAATAACATATTTATAAAAGTTTAAATAATGTAAAATTTGATATACATGATCTTGAATATAATATTACATATTCAACACTTGGATTGATTAAATATGCATTATTCATAAAAGTTATTAAATGTATAAGACTTGGTATAAATTTATTAGACTTACACTTGATGTCAACAAATTTAACTTTCTCTCTCTCTCCCTCTCCCTCTCCCTCTCCCTCTCCCTCTCCCTCTCCCTCCTTCTTTCTCTCAATCTCTCTCTCTCCCTCTCAATCCCTTATCCGCGGGATACACGCAAGCCCCCAAGGATATACAGAGAGAGAGAGAGAGAGAGAGAGAGAGAGAGAGAGAGAGAGAGAGAGAGAGAGAGAGAGAGAGAGAGAGAGAGAGAGAGAGAGAGAGAGAGAGAGAGAGAGAGAGAGAGAGAGAGAGAGAGAGAGAGAGAGAGAGAGAGAGAGAGAGAGAGAGAGAGAGAGAGAGAGAGAGAGAGAGAGAGGATTGCTAACATATTCTCACATCTCATCTATTTTTTAGTTGGAGTATATTAGTAACCTACACCAAAATTTTAGGATAAGAAAATCACTTATTTCTTTTGATTTAGTTAATTTATATAAAAAATATTAAAGTAATTTAATTTAATTTTAAAAGAAAATAAAAATATTTTTTCTTTTCTATTAATTTTTTTTCAACTCATTTCTTTCTCACCTATCATAAAATCGCCCCTCTCTCGGAACAAATAAAAATTAATTAAAAGAAGAGAGAAATGAGTTGCAGAATGCAGTTAATAAGAGAGATAAAATATTTTTATTTTCCTTTAAAATTAAATTAAATTATTATAATATCCTTTATACAAATTAACCAAATCAAAAGAAATGAGTGATTTTCTTGTCTTAAAATTTTGGTGTAGGTTGCTAACATACTTCAACTAAAAAACAAGTGAGAGTATGTTAGTAATCTCTCTCTATATATATATACACATATATATACTCACAAATATAATATCATATAATTTAATAATTGGATAAATTTAAGTTGCATTATACAAAAACTCATTAAATATGTAAAATTTGGCATAAAATTTTAAGCTTAAACATGTCAATGAATTCTACATATATTTTGAATATCATATAATATCATAACTGAAGTGATTATTAAATTATGTGATATTATATTTATAAATATGTATATCAAATTTTATTTGATTTCAAAATCATTTTTTATCATTTTATTTTAATATATAAAATAATATTCAAAATATATGTAAAATTTTATTGTTAGTAACATATCTAATAAAAGTAATCAAGTAAAATTTGATATATGTAACCACAAATATAATATCACATAATTCAATAAATTAAAATTTATATTATAGAAGAAATTATTAAATATGTAAAACTTTGGCATAAAATTTTAAGCTTAAACATGTCAATAAATTCTACAATTTTAATGGTAAAATATGAGAAACTAAAATTCCAACTTAACAATATTAAAAAATTTTAAATGAAAAATAAAATGAACTTCTAACACTAATAAATTATTTATTGTTAAATAATTTCTATTATAGTATGAGTCAATTATTTAAGGTATGTTTAAAAATTAGTTGAGTTAAACTTAATTGGTGTCGAAAAAAAAGTATATTCATAAACTTTTACTTTTTCATTAGAATGTATATTTTTTTTATTAAATATAATTTTAAATTGATATTCAAACATAATTTTAAATTTAACAACCAATTTTAAGCTTGACTCTTGAATATAATATTAAATATGTGAAAAGTTTTTCTCTAAAAAAAATGTGAAGAGTTTTATCACTTGTAAGAACAATATCCGCATTGATCATGTGAAAAATATATTTGATCTCAAAATTAAAAAGAAAACAATAACTTTTATTAATTTAGCGTAAAAAATACTTCATATACTAATTATACGTAAAATTTGTATAAATATTAAATAGATATTTTAAAATATATAAATAATATTTTAGATTTAAAAGAAATAATTTATATTATAATATATATTATTTTATTTATTAATAGTTTATTAAAAATATTAATATTTTATTCAAAAATAATTATGATAATTAATAATTGAATTAAATAAGAAATTTAAAAAATTCTTACAAATCTTATAACTAAGAAAAACTCTTTAAAATATTTTTAAAATATTTTCGTGTACGATAAAAATTTGTGTTTAATATATAAAAGTTAATATATAAAAGTTGATTTATAAATTTATTTCATACAGTACTTCCTTCATAAAATGTTTTATAATATAAATTATTTATCATAAGTATAAAGTATAATTAATGTGTCAAAAATAAATTTTTATATAAATATTAAATATAATTTATATATTAAAATACAGTTATATTTTTTTTTCCTTCATTTCTCTCTCCGCCAACACAGTGAATCGAGGGTTGCAGAACACGCCAATGTTTTCTAGTGTATAAAATTAGTATTGCCAAAGTTAGAATTTTAATGTTTTCGGATGTGCCTTTGACGATTAGACACACAATTTAGAAACAATTTTTTTTTATCAGTAAAAAACAATAATAAAAAAGCGAATTTAAATTCCTGTACTTCTACTCATCCCTACCACTACTATAAATCCTTTAAGATCAAATAATTACAAATATTTTTTTTAATTCACGTGAAAAATGAAATAAAAGTACATTATTATTGAATTATCAACATACAAATAGTACAATTATAATTTTGTTGTGGAACCAATATATTATAAACTAGTATTTTTTAATCCGTACATTAGGATTAATGTTTATTATATATAACTCAAATTTATAATAAATTATATAAATAATTATTTTTGAACATATAAATCATATTTTATATTTAAAATAAATAATTTTATATTACATTTTAACATTATTTTAACTATCAACAATTTAATTAAAATATTAAAATTTAACTTATAAATAAATATAATATATAAGAAATTTAATAAAATAAGAAGTTAAGAGGCATCAAATAATAGTTTCAAAAAATATTTTTGTATAAGATATATATAAAAGTTGATTCTTTTTAAACAATCCTTACTCTTTTTTTTCTTCTTCTCTGCATCATGATTCTTTTATTATTACCTTAACTGATTTTTTTAAAATAGAAAAATTGGATTTCATTAGGCAATATATAAGCCAATATTTTTTGTTTTGTTTTTGGATACATATGGCAGCAACGAGCAACCAACCCTATAAGTATAAGCAGTCTAGAAGTTGCAAGTTTAAACCCTTGAGTTGATTGCCTCGTTTCTTCGGCCGCGCCAACACACACTCTCTCTCTGCCTTCCATCGTCGTTACTTTTGCTTCCGACTATTCCTCTCTTTCTCTCTCTATATCTATCTATCCACATATACATACATACTCTCATATATAACCACTCCATCCTCATTCGGTTCTCTCTCCATTCACTTTACAACGCCGTTTCTCTCTTCCGCTGCCGTTGTACGCGCTCTTACAACTCCCTCGTTGCACAAGGTTTCTCTCTCTCTAGTATTTGAATGTAGTGCTACTCTCTAACCGATTAAACTCTCTTTCTCTCTCCCTGTTGTGGTTGTTCTCACTGTTGTGCGTTTTTGTGTTTGATCCCTAGGCGAAGGAACCAAAAACAAAAACAAAAACAAACAGCCCTATTTATTATTTGAACTGATATTTCTGTTTTAATTTAAACCAATTCCCTGTGTTTCTAATCGTCTGTGTCTTCGCCATGCATGTTCTGATTTTAGATAATCGAGTGAAACGCTGCGTTTTCAATACTTCGTGGTATTTGTTATTTTCTCGTGAAGAAATACAAAATCGTGGTTTTTTTTTATTTTATTGTTTGATTAAATTGGTATTGTTTGATCTGTGTGTGATTCCGATATATGTGTATGTAGTTCTGTGCAAATGTGGTTGCCTTGTCAATTCATCTGCTTCAGAGGTTTTAACTATCTAATTGTGTTGGATTATTTGTGGATGTTATGAAGAAAGAAAACATGAGTGCGAACTTTGATTTTTGACTGTAAGTATGACTGTTGAGATATTAGAGATAAAAGTGGTCTAGTTATTTGGTTATTTGTAGGCTTGGTTTTAAGCAGTGTTGTTGAATAGCGGCTATAGTGATGCTTTAGAGCTATTGCACAGCAGAGTTCCTAGGATCTGTTATCGCAACAACATTGTGGTGTGCCTTATGCGACCTCTATGGGTGTTGTGGCTGTGGCTTGCATCTTGGTGTCCTGGTTTTGAGAGATGAATGTGGGATTACACATGACTTTTTCCCACCCAGCCCCGGTGTCCTGCTTTCCCTCCTCATGTAAAACATATTAAACTTCTCTTATATGCAAACCTTTGTTCACAGCCTACGTAAGGATCAAGGAAGGACTCCTCCACCTCTCCATTGCCGTTTGTTCACCTACTGTCATCATCTTGTGAGTTTCTGGCCAATTGAACTTTTGAGATAATATTATGCTACCTTTTAGGCATTTTTATTTTTATTTGTATACAATTTAATTTTTCTTACATATATAATTTGATATATTTCAACTGCTATGTGATTTCCAATATTTGCTTGCGACATAATCAGCTAGATTATTGGTTTTCTGCCATTTTCTGCAATTTGCAATTAATAACACTGGTTTTAAGAGGGTATATCTGGCAAAGGGAAGTTACTTCTATCAAGAATATGCTGAAGCTAAAATAGATAATTAAAACATGGATGGAAAGGTTGTTAAATTGAGATTTAAATCATGAACTGCCATGCTAACTTTTGAGGTGTGAATTGTAAGACTGAATTGTAAGATTTGGAGAGAGAAAAGTAAATTCTAATATAAATGATGAATAGTACTTGTTCCAAACTCAAATCTGTCATCATCATGGAAGTCACCACATTCGAGGTATTGTCTGATTTAATGCTGAGTTAGGCACCGTTTTAGGACAAAACTTTGATAACCCACTTAGTGTCAAAGTAGATAATATCTTTGATGCAGTGACCATGATGATGTTAATGGACTTGAAATCAGAATTTTGGTGCTATAAGGAGGGCTTAGGCCACTTTTCCCTGTTGGCCTCAATTGAAGGACTTGTTATAGTATGTTAAAAAGTTTCACATCACTTAGGAGTCGAAATCAATGATAGTTTATAATACATCATCTTCCCTTAACTCATCAAGATGCCTTTTTAGGACAAAATTGTGACGGTTCATTGAACACCAAAGCTTACCTATGATACGGTAATCTTAATGATTCCAATTGACTTGACGTCAAAACAATACTCAATGTAACAATTTTAAACTAGAATTAGACAGAATAGGTTAAACATAAGTCTCGCAAAACAACATTATTAGTCATAGTTGAGTTTGTAAAGGCTTTACTTTGGAAAATATTAAAACAAAGTAATGGAGTAACCAAATAGAGTGCATGCATTAAAAGAGTGGTGATGAAGATAGTAATGGAATAATAATCAAATAGGATATGTTCCATAGCTTATATAAGTTTTCAATTTCTGTGATGAGAATTGATGGAAAAAAGTAGAAAAAAAGGAACTAACGTTGAATTGTTGATTTGGGTGATTTGTTTTGTTGTGATACAAAAATGTTATAATTCATCAATGTATCACAAGATTCAAGAGATTCATTACATGATGCAAAATGCAGGTTAGCCAAATCGCATCTAATAACTATAATGGATGAATCATTTTTTAATATTGTTGTAATATTGTAATAACTCGATTTTTGACGGGATCCATTTAGCTCGATTTTGTTTAAGCAAGTTGTAGTAGTCAATAACGGACTATAGTGGAGCTGCCCCGGGCTGCAGTGAGATTCAAAAGAAATAGTGAAGTTGCTGTTGCAATGACAGACAAAATAGTGGCTTTTCAAGTGCTATAGCAGTGCTACCTTGATATTGGCTTCAAAAACCAAAATTTACCCCTGAAACAACATTGTTTAGGCTTTTGGGGTAAAAATGTGATTACTCTCCCTGTTTTTAATGCATTTTTCACTTCAAAACATAATAGGATTTGAAACCCTTCATCATTGACCATTCCAAAAAAAAGTTACCATTGTTTTGACCCTTATTCCTTCTCACTTTATGGGGCAATTTTATTTTTTATTTGTACTTGTGTTCTATTCCTTTTTCTTCCTTTAGACATCATGGTTCACATTCTGCTAATTTTTATCTAATTCATTGCTATGTTCTTATTACTCCTAGATTGATGATGATTGTGTGTGTAAATCGTGACTTTATTATTTATATTTATCAGGAACTTCGTTAATTTTATTTTTGTTTTGAAGTATTTATGTGCACTATAAATACATTTTATATTGAAAGTTATAATAATTCAAATAGCAGCCACCCCACTGCCTGCTATCTGAGATTAGGGATAACAACAAGGTGGAGGCGGTTAGTAGCTTCCCGTCACTTGCTTTGTTTAGTGCTGGTATCCATGAGTTTTTTTTTAATATATTCGTATGTATCCATGGATATCTGTGGATATTTGACAAAGTGTAAAATTTTAAATAAAAGAATAAAAATAAAATAAAACTAAAATTAAACAATTTTAAAACATATATTTATATTAAATATTTTTTGTAACATATATTATACTAAAATAAATAATTATGACACATTTAGTGTAAAATTAAATTAAATTAAACTAATTTATATATAATTAAGAAATTTTTTAATATTTTTAAAGTGAGGGTACTCGTGGGTATAAGTAACTTATTACCCACCTCATTATTAAGTGAGTACCCATTTTATTATCCATTTAAAATCCAAGTGGATTTTATCTGCAAGTACGTTTTTTTTTGTTATCCCTATTTGAGATTGAAAACTATTTTGTATTTTGTACAACAATTATTTTGTACTAATCCTTTAGTTATTTACTAGTTTATGTGTGTTAAATATCAACTAGGTCCAACATAATTGGTTAATAGTTAGGTTCCTTAAGCATGTTGATAGAGGTTTGGTTCCTTGACCATGCGCATGGAATAGATTTTGTTGGGTGAGACAAAGTCCACTTTCGTGAACTTTCTGCTTCAAAAGTCTTTGATTATCGGTTGAAAGATATCCTTGGTTCAAAAAAAAACTTGGGGTTATAAATGTTCTGCTTTAAATTTGTTTTTCATTTGTAATCTAGAAACAGAAAACAAACAAAAAAAGATGTGACAGTGTTATTCATTTTATATGATGAGGTTGAACCTTCCTTTGAAACTCAAGACTGTACGACAAACTTAAGAGTTCTGGGTCCTTTGTTTTGCAGTATAAATTTCATTTTTACTTAGCAGCTGAAGTTCTATTGCATTCTAAATTCTAACTCTTGTTCAATTTGTTATTTTATGTTTTGCATAAAATTTAATTCCAAGTCTGCCTTGTTTGTTTTTGACAGCTCCAAGTCTGCCTTGTTCATGTATGATATCATGTTCTTATTGATGCCCTTCTGATATTCCATTATTTTTTGTTTTGCAGGGTTACTTGTGCTATCATGGAGTTTGATGCTCGTGTTACTCCTGTTAATAATGATGAGATACCTGATCCAGGAGTGCTACTCAACAAGCAGAGGAGAAAGAAGTCTATTGTGTGGGAATACTTCACAGTGGAAGCTGTTGGATTTGGATGTAGCAGGGCTTTCTGTAAACAGTGCAGGAAATCATTTTCTTATATATCTAATTCAAAACTAGCTGGCACGAGCCATTTGAAAAGACACATTTCTTTGGGTATCTGTCAAGTTCTTCGGGAGAAAAACCTACAAAGCCCATATCCTAAAACTGGTGGTTCTCAAGATACTGCCAATCCACCCAAGAAAAGGCCAAGAGCAACACCTCGATTTGCTGGTAATAGTATCTCATTTGATCAGCAGCGTTGCAACCTTGATATTGCCAAAATGATAATTTTACATGATTATCCTCTTCATATTGTGGAACAACCGGGTTTCATCAATTTTGTACGGATTCTTCAACCCCAGTTCAATCCGTTATGTTTAAAATCTGTTGAAGGGGATTGTGTTGCTATGTACCTCAGGAAAAAGCAAAATTTGTTAAATATTATTAATGGGATTCCTGGACAAGTCAACCTGACATTGGACTTTTGGACTTCAAACCAGACAATGGGTTATTTTTTTGTTCGAGGACACTTCATTGATAATGATTGGAACTTACATCGTCCTATTCTCAATGTTGTTTCAGTACCATTTCCTGATTCTGCTGACTCTTTAAATCAAACGTTAGTGATCTGCCTATCTGATTGGCATTTGGAGGGGCGGCTGTTTACCCTTGCGCTTGATAAATCCTTTTCCAGTGAGATTGTGATAGAAAATTTGAGAGGCCTTCTCTCTGTGAAGAACCCTGCCATCCTCAATGGTCAGCTGTTAAACTGGAATTGTTATGCTCGTGTTCTTAGTCGCCTTGCAGCACATGCACTATGGATCATGAGAGAAACTGTTAGCAATGTCCGCGATAGTGTAAAGTATGTGAAATCTTCCGAATCCCAAGAAGAGAAGTTTATTAAACTGAAGCAACAACTACAAGTACCTAGTATGATGGACCTTTCAATTGATGACCCGTGTAAGTGGGACACAACTTATCATATGCTTGTAGCTGCCTGTGAAATAAAAGAAGTCTTCGCTTGCCTTGATACCACCGATCCTGGTTATAGAATGAATCTAACAATGGGTGACTGGAAGCGGGTTGAAACTCTCTGCACATATTTGAAGTATTTGTATGATGCGGCTAAATTTTTGACTGCACAACCATACCCTACTTCAAACTTATTTTTTGCTGAAGTGTCAAAAGTTCAGGTGGAGTTAACACATGCGGCCTTCAACCAGGATCCTTTCCTTAGCAGTTTGATTTTCTCTTTGCATGACAGCTTTGACCAATATTGGAGAGAGAGCTGCCTCATCTTGGCAACTGCCGCTGCAATGGACCCAAGGCATAAAATGAAACTTGTGGAATTCACCTTTGCTAAGATATTTGGTGAGAGTGCTGAGGCATGGATAAGATTAGTTAAGGATGGTCTTCACGAACTATTCATTGAATATAGCACCCAAATGTTTCTTACAGAAACAAATGGTGATGATGGGGTTAACATTATGATAAAAGAAACATGTCAAGAAGGGCCTATTGACAACGCACTTTTTGTTGATGAGGATGGATTGTCCGACTTTGAATTTTGTATGTCTGATTTTACTGGTAACCCACAGTTTAAGTCAGAATTGGATGAGTATCTGGAAGAGCCTCCGCTGACTGGAGTAGAAGATTTTGATATTCTGAGCTGGTGGAAAGTAAATGGATTGAAGTACCCGACATTGTCTAGAATCGCATCTGATATTTTGTCTTTACCAGTATCCACTCTGACTGTAGATTCTGTTTTTGACACAGAAATTAGAAAGATGGATAGCTACCGTAGTTCTTTAAGCTCCCTGACTCTCGAGGCCCTTATTTGTGCCAAGGATTGGATCCGGTCTGAAGGGTTATAGATTTTTCAAATGTACTTGTGAAAATGGAATTTCAGGTATAGGATTTTTCATTTAATTTGTGTTTTTGTCAGATTTTTCATTACATGTTTATAGTATAAAGATTAATTCTTTTCAAATTTCATTTTCTTGGCCAAAATAACCCCTTTTGTACCAAAAAAAAATGAAGGATTATATTCATACTTTCATTGTTTCAATGAAAATCTGAAAGATTAATAGTTTCAAATTTTGAATAAAGAACTTGGAAGGATTTTTTTCATGGGATATATTGGCAAATTTTTACCCCACAGGCACAGGTTTACACTTCGGCCTAACTTTTATTCTTTTCTAATTTGATGTTTGAGCGTGATAGGTTGGTCTATTAGTTACTTTTGTATGTGTACTTCACGTATTTCCATTAATATTTCAAAAATTGATTCGCAAGTCGAATTGACCAAAATTTCTGAATCATGCTTATGATTATGTCGAAGCTAAATGTTATGAACACATTTTTGAATACACTCTCTAATTTATTAGAAAATATAAAAAAATTTAGAGATTCATACCATAGTTATTGACTCTATTTTTTATAATAAATTTTAATTAATAAGAGATATTATATTAAGAACAATATGTTAAAGAGTGTTATTGACACTCTTCTTGTTTTAACCGGCTAATTTAACAAATCCGCTGAATACAAAATAAAGAATCATATCCCGACTTATCGTTTGACTGATTGAACGGAATGGGTTGATCGTGTTTAAAACCATGTTAATTTATATTTCGGTGTGATGGATAATTTGATAGAATAGTTCTTAAGAAAAAAGTTATATTTTTTTATTCAATTATCAAATCAGTTTGATTTTAAATTTATAGTTAATTAAATTCTAAGTTGAATTGCATTTTTAATCTCAATTTTAGTCCTTTTATTTTAAAATAAGAATATCTAATCATTCTATTTTTTAAAAATATAAGATTTTGATTTTATCATTAATTTTGATGTTGGATAATTGTCAAATTTTAACATTGTCCAGTAATTTGTCACCATTCAACTAACATGCTATTTAGTGATACAAGGGATAAAAATTAAAAAAATAACAAAAGATTTATATATATATATATATATATATATATTTTTAATGAGTGATTGATATTTATTTTGTTAATAAAATTTTTTCAATGTCTTTTTTAATCTTTGAACATCATGTGACTAAATATTATATCACATAATGCTAAAACTTAATAATTAATAGATATCAATTTGATGAGAGAATTAAAATTTCATATTTTTAAAAATAATGTGATTATATGTCTCTATATTAAAATAAAAAGACTAAAATTGTGAATTATTAATAATAAAGAGATCAAATGTGTAATTTAGCCTAAATTTTATTTCATCTCCTCTACATTTTTTTAGTTTTAAAAATATTAAACACTAATATAAAGTAGAAATTTACAAACATCAATTGAGAGAGAAAAAATATATCTGAAATTTGTTACATGTACAAAATAATTTTTTAATTTTTAATTGCTTTCAATTATTCATTCGTGAAGAAATATTTTTAGTATTGAATTCTAAGATACTGCAATGTCTTATGTTAATTTTCTTTTTTAAAATATAAAAATCCTAATTTCATAATATAAAATTTTTTAAAAAAATATTTATAGTAAAAAAAAGAAATAAAATAATTGTTGTCATAAAAGGGGAATGATAACAATAACAAATTCAAGAGAGGGAGAGAGATATCAGTTTTTATGTTGAAAGGGTTCTTTCCCCAACTAAGATTCATTCTTATCTCATTCTACTTACAGAAACCCTAACTCAAATTTATTTTTTACACACACACACATATATATATATATATATATATATATATATTGTTCTAATAAATCTAAATTGATTACAAGGTCTTGAAGATCTATAGTTGATTATAGAGATTATGATATTAATTTTAGCTTTCACCTTTGCCTTTTCTTGACGCGTGTTATAAAAAAAATTATTACTTAAAAGTTAAAATTTCAAGTGTTTTCTGTGTTATATAATTGAGGAACAATCTCAATTAAATAGACCAAAATAGAGCAAGTTAATTAAAGAGAACAGAGAGAAAAATAGAGCAAGTTAATGACACTATTATTTACGTATAGAAGTTTCACCAAATAGGAGAATGAAATGAGAACAGTGGTACAATATTATATATAAGTAGTAGTGTAGTATTATTAACAAGAGAAAAAAATGGAGAAGACATGAACCTAGAAAAAAAAAAAGATGAAAAACTCACTTAAAATTTTTTGAAGTACTTGAAAAGTCACTTCAAACAATTCTCCAAAATCTTGTGGGTTTGGATGTGATTGTTTTATGAATTTGGTATTTATAGATACCACTAAAAAACTAAAAAGTCTATCAAAATCCCTCTAATATAACAATCCTTTAAAATCTCTATATTTTTGAATACTGATGAATTGTTTTTAAGTTGTAAAAAGTCTCAAATGAATACCAATGGATTTTAATGGACTCTTTAAAAAATCTTGAAAATCCTAATTGAATACCATTAAATTGTTTTTAAGTGACATAAAATCCTGATTGAATACTAACGAACTTTTTAACTCAAAAAAAGTATTTTAAAATCCTATGAAATCATAAACTAATACACCCCCTTACTCTTTGTATTAAGAACTTTAGATTCAATAATTGGATCATTGAAATTTGATATAGAACATGAGTTATTGAACGGAGTAAATCTAGCTAAACTTACTCTCAAAGTAAATGGATCTATCATGTGTATATATATATATATATATATGAGGAGGGATATACTTCTTTCAATAAACTTACTTCAATTAATAATTTATATTTTACATCAAATTTTAACAATTAAAAAAATTTTAATGTATAGAAAAAAATTTAATTTTTTAAAAAAATTAAAAATCATATAATACTTTATTATATAAATTTAAATTAATGTATAAAATGTTTTTATCCATCAATTTAGATTAATAAAATAAAGTATCAAATAATTTTTTAATTTTTAAAAGTTGATAAACTTA